AAGAGTATTTCCAAACCACTTTACCACATCTTTGTATTTGGGAAGACGGGTTAAATTTTTTGTTGGATGGTTGTATTAGAAAATATATTTGAAATGATGTTGGAATACTAAATGACCAAAATGCCCCTACAAGTGTGCAAGTTCTTTTCGAAGAAAAAAAAGTTCCTTTACTGACGTGGAAGTTCACATCTTCTAGGGACACTGTTAGACGAGTCCGGATCCTCTGCTGTGTTTTCCTGCGGCGCTTCCCTGCTATGGTCCAAAACGACGTCGTTTTGGTATTTTTTTTTTTTTTTGGGCCTTTCTTTCTTTTCCTTTTGCCCCTGTTTTCTTCTCTCATTTGAAAAGGCTGTTAAGATTTTGACTAAGTGTAAAACCTGAACTCATTTCCTTTCACTTTTCTCACAGAACAAAACAAACAAACATTTCAAACCCAGTCATCTATATATATACACACAGGTATATATACATATATATATATATATAGGATCATAGATTCAGTGAAGATGTTGTCCCAAATGGAGCTAGAAGATTCAACATAGTCTATATATATAGGATATTAAGAAGAAGAAGAGAATAGAATAATGGAGTAAATGGGGGCCGTTTGATTCACAGCCGCTTCAAGATCCCCGCCGCGTCAAATCTACGATATTTGATTTGTGCTTGCATCGACGCCGTCTCTCAGATCGGTTTGTCTTCTCACAGATCTATAATTTATAGATCGGTTTGTCAATGTGTCCCGCGGTGGCGATCAAGCTTCGCTAGAACCAGAGAAATTGTTGATTGAAGCAATGTTTTGAAAAGAGAAGAACGAAGCTTCAAAATTCACACAAATAAACTAGAGAGAAGAAAACAGGGGAAATCCAACAAGCAAATCATCACTCAACAGCTTCAATGGTCTTTTTTTTACTTTCAAATGATTTTTTTTTTTTGATTTCCCGTGGCCTCGCTTCATCGCCGTTGCTGTGGTGTATGGGTGGGGTTCATAGCTCTCAATGAAAATGGGGAAAAAAAAAAAAAATCTAAAACGATGTCATTTTAGATTATAGCAAGAAAACGCCATAGAAAAACACGACAGAGGATCCGAACTCAGTATTAGACGGCTAGATTTTAAATTGTTTTTCAAAGCCGTTGTTGGAGAGTTGATGGGTTGATCAAATATTCAAAGGGTAAAATCATTTTTTTATCCTCTGTGACTTAGCAGCTGTCAACCACAAATTCTAACTCAGCAGCAAGTATTCGCTTTTAAGGTTTTTGTTTTTTCCTTTTACTTATTCGAAAGGCTAAAATAGCCTCCAAAAGTTGTTCCCAAACACGGTCATTAAGTGATAATTAATTAAATTTATTTAATAATTATAATTGATATTACTTAATATTTTAAGCACTTCTTAAAATATAAATTAAAAGTTTTAAAAAAATAAGTCATATAAAAATTACTTAATTCTAATTAAATTTATAAATTCTAAACATAAATATCGATATACACTACTTTCTCTTCCAATTTTTTTTTTTTTTTTGGTAATACAATTATTAAATTTCAATAATATCAACTTTCCAAAATACTCTTTTGACTTTTTTGTTTATGAAACATCAATTGTCATAAGTAATAAATTTATAAAGAATGACAAAATATGAAAATCATATTGTTTTAGTCATTGTTCTTTGAAAATGGACTAATTAATATTTTGGGACAATAAAAAATAGAAGAGCAATGCTACATTTATCAATTTTTGGTTTGTCTGAATCGCTCGAATTTGTGTATACCGATTGTCTAGCCAATCATCCGACAACAAAGGTGATAGTTGCTATTGACAACTGTGATTGATAAGAGTTGAATTGATCATCCAGGCAGTCGACCAGCATGCACAAATTTGGACGATTCGCACAAACTCAAATTCGATGGATAAATCATTTTTAAAAATAAAAAAGAGACTAATATTTTACGATAAAGGAAGTATTATAAATTCACCATCACAACCACCATCACCACCACTACTACTACCACCAACTTTATCACTATTATCATTATTACTATAAGCACCACCACTACCATTGCTACTATTAGTACTACCGCCATCATAATATAAAAATTAAAATATACAATTAAAAAATAATAAATTTAAAATTTAATTTTATACCTATTAAACAATCTATTTTTAATTCAATACTTAAATTTTTATCAAATAATTTTTTAATTTAAAAAATTTAACATTAAATTTTTAATACATAATACATAATTTTTAATTTTATCAAACACCACCAAAATATGCCGGAGATATGCAATACATGAATCAACTTCCAATTGAAAACGAGAATTTATGGATGTTTGACAATTGATTAAAATAAATAAATAAAAAATCAATTTAGAAGGTCAATCTATTACGGACTTTTCTTAAGTGTGCAACTTACACCTTACACTTACGCCTTTCTGTTTGCTGTCCTGTTTGATGTTTACACATTCCACTTACACTTTTTGTGTTGGTTGCATACACCCATCTATTATATACATATATAGATAAAAAAATTAGCAAAGACCATTGGTCTTGTTTGAAAAAAGGATTGGGTTAAAATATTTTATTAAAAGACAAAATAGATTAATAAGACAAAATGTCATATTCAACTCATAATCATTTTATTTTTTCTCTCATAGCCATCAAATCAATTATAAAAAACAAATAAAAATAAAAATTCAACTAACTCCTGAAACATAACTTTTTTACTCAAATTAAAATAGTCAAAAAATCAAACAACCAACCAAAATACTAACTTTCCAAACAAGGCCATTATGTAAAGGAATAAAAGGAAGAGTGCTACTATTAACACCTGTCTAAATTCTTTGAATCTTTCATTTCTTTGGACCCTTACCCTAAACCCTAAATTTTAATGACAGTTTTTTGGACACCCCACATATTACTAAATCTACCCATATTTATAATATTATCACAATCAAATGCACACTCACCCGATTTTTCATACCCTCTCCTTTCCCTGTTACTGACTGTCCATCTCCCTCCTGCACCAACGGTGTCTTACTGTTTCATCTCCTCCTGCACCAATGGTATGTTGTTGTATCTATTTTTTTTTTTTTTTTTTTTGAGAACATTTCTTGCTATTAAACACCAGTCTCTTGCTGGTGGTAGAGCTGCACACAACAAAACTGTAGATTTTTTCTTAAGAATCAAAGGTATAATTTGCTTCTATCTTCTTTGCAATTAACCATGACCACATAACACAAAAACATTTTACCAACCAAAACTACAACCACACAAAACCCTGATTGCGGGAGAATATTATAATCTAATGGATGACCTGATTTTACATAAAATTTAAATTTTTTAACGAATAGATGTCTGAATATTATAATCTAATAGAAGTTTACATACCAAATAGAAATAAAATAAAATAAAAATATTAGAACCCTTTGTCTTTGAGAAAGTTTGTTTGGCTGACTGTTTCTGAAAACTGAACCCTTTGTTTTTCTTGAATTTTTGGGGTCAGTTTTGTTTTTTATTTTCATAAAATTCGTTTGGATTACTAGAGCATGTTTTGTTTGTTTGATTTCCTTTATATATATATATATATAGCAAACTGTTGTGTCCTGTTGGATTATTAGGGCCTATTTTGTTGTGCTTTTGTGTCCTGTTTTTATTTTCCAGGAATTTTTGTTTGTCAAACTGTTTCTAAAATTTTTGTTTTTGTTGAAAACAACCCTCTTTTTAAGAAATCTCAAAAAGTTAGTTTTTAAATTTTCAAAGACTTTTCACACCAAAATGAAAAAAGAAAAAAGAAAAAAGAAGAAGAAGAAGAAGAAGAGTGGGTGTTTCTGATTTTTCATTATTTTTCTTTCCCAAAACATTAAAACAAAAATAAAGAAAATGAAAACAAAAAACCAAACAGAGTAAATCCCAAAAACAAATCAAAATAGAACAGTTGAAGAAGAGTTATTGTGGCCTTGAAGAGGAAAACAAACTGTTTATAGGATGAATGACAATTTGTACTGTTTATATTCTATATTTCTATTTGCGTTGGTCCAGTGAAATTTTTGGTACAAACCTTTGATAAATGTTAACATTATAGTATTATTTATACAAACTAATAGGAATTTATTTATGTATTTTTATGGATAATCTATTTAATATTTAAATTCATTTGATGATATTGTTTATGATTTATGATCTATTCAATATTTATGTTCAATTTAACAGTGCCGAAAATAAAGATTATATTCGGTTTAACAGTACTGACTATCTGATTAATGTTCGGAACCAATGTATTGAACTAAAGGTTTATGTTCAATACTATATTACCGAACATAATCCTAACAGTTAACAAACCAGTATCGAACAACTCGAACAAAAGAAGAACGACTGAAAACGACCAAGAATGTTAATGCAAGACAGATAAACTTATCAATGGAACGCTAGTCTCATTAGAATTATTGTCCTCATCCTCCATTACTCTACACGGTGAAATAAGTGATGAAACATACGTTATACTTGAAGCAAAACGTTCTGATTTAATAGAGTTGATGATGGTGATGAAGATTACACATTCAGGATTTAACATGATTATGAAGAATAATAGATTTAGGATTTATGTTAATTTGTTACGAAGAGTAAAATGTTTAAGATTTACAAATATGGAATACATATAGTGGGAGGTGGAGGTGGAGGTGGAGGTGGAGGTGAGGGTGAGTGTCTAATATTATAGAGTACTAGTTCTTATTTGATAGGTGAGTGTTCTATTAAATGATGTTTTTTAATATAATTTTATTTTAACATATAATCATAATAAAAAAATTATAAATTGAGAGATCCAAATAATTTAGACATGTACTAATAACATCACTCGAAGACGAAATTAATGAAAAATGGATTGGGCTCAAGCCGAAGATCACCCCGACCGAGGCTCTATTCAAGGGGTGGGGTCGGGTCTGGAATACCATACTTTAGGCGGGTCTCAGCCCGTAAAACTTGGGCTCCGCCCGTCCGTATAAAGACTCTGAACTTCAACTTCAACGCCACCCAAACCAAACATCCACTTGTCTCTCACTCTGAAATCTTCCCGCCACCATCTCCATCTCCATCTAGATAGAGAGTATGGTGCAGTTCCACGACCACATCATCTCCGATCTCCTCGAAGACCCAACCGGCGGCCTCGTCATCCTCTCCTCCGGCCTCTCCCTCCACAAACTCATCTCCTCCCTCCTCCTCCTCCACCACCACCCCTCCTCCTCCTCCGGCACCCTCCTCCTCCTCTCCGCCACCCCCTCCCAAAAATCCTCCATTCTCACCACTCTCAACCACCACCAAACCCCCAATCTCCCCTCCGAAATCACTTCCGACCTCCCCTCCCACCACCGCCTCTCCCTCTACTCCTCCGGCGCCGCCTTCTTCATCACCTCCCGCATCCTCATCGTCGACCTCCTCACCTCCCGCCTCCCCACCTCCTCCCTCTCCGGCCTCATCATCCTCAACGCCCACTCCCTCTCCGACACCTCCACCGAAGCCTTCATCGTCCGCATCCTCCGTTCCTCCAACCCGTCTCTCTTCATCCGCGCCTTCTCCGATAAACCCCACGCCATGGTCTCCGGCTTTTCCAAGCCCGAGCGGACTCTCAAGTCTTTGTATTTGCGCAAATTACATCTCTGGCCGCGCTTTCAGGTCTATGTGTCGCAGGATTTGGAGAGGGATCCGCCAGAGGTTGTGGATGTTAGGGTTCCGATGTCGTCTCATATGAAGGTGATTCAGAAGGCCGTGATTGAGGTAATGGATGCTTGTTTGAAGGAGATGAGGAAGACTAATAAGGTTGATGTTGAGGATTTGACGGTTCGGAATGGGTTGTTTAAGTCGTTTGATGAGATTGTGAGAAGGCAATTGGATCCAATTTGGCATACTTTGGGGAAGAAAACGAGACAGCTTGTTTCGGATTTGAAAACTCTGAGGAAGTTGTTGGATTACCTTGTCAGGTATCGATTCCAAGTTTCAATCTTTTCTTAGATTAGGACATTGTTTGATAGCACACTAAACCCTAAACAATGTCTCAATAATTAGCTGCATTGCCTTCTCTGTTAACAAAAATTTTAATCTTTTTTTAAGGGTTTCTTGTGGGAATGGTTATTGATAATTTGAAACATCTTGCATTGTGTTGTATTGTATTGTCAATTGAAGATTCTTTATGCATCCATTTTGGGGACTGTTCACTGTGATATGATTTGATGGATTTAATTTGATAAAATTTTGGAGATTGTTTCAGAAATGAATTTTGATATTCTATATGGGTAGGTATGATGCAGTGACTTATTTGAAGTATTTGGATTCACTGAGAGCGTCAGAGAGTTTTCGGTCTGTTTGGATATTTGCAGAGTCGAGTTACAAGATTTTTGAATATGCAAAGAAGCGTGTGTACCATTTTGGGAGGCTGGATGGTGGGAAGTTGGTTGGACAGAGTAAAAGTTCGACAACCAAAAAAAGAAAACTAAAGGATACCAATAAGGAGAAAGACGGTGAGGGTTTGCTTGGTAAAAGTTGTTCTACCTTGTATTGCTAAATTATTAAAGTAATAGTAGTCATCCATGATGGTATTTTCTATCATTCTGGTTTGAATTAGCTTATTGATTTGTATTTAAAGCTTTAAAGTAGAAAGTAATTTACTCTTCAGAAAATAATATTAATTCTTTGAAAATATGCATATTTTAATTTTGTTAATTTATAGCAAAATGCCATACTATTAGTGATTTAATTAATATTAATGATTTGGAAGTAATATTAATGCTTTGTAAATTCTGTTAATTGTGTGTATAGATTCTCTGCCAACGCTTACAAGTGGAGTAGCTTTGGAGGAAGTCTTGGAGGAGGCACCAAAGTGGAAGGTGTTACGTGTGAGTGAGTGAATCCATTTTTTTTAAGAATCTGCAAGTCAAATTTTTCCTTGTTTAAAAGTTTTGCAGAAAAGCAACTCAAAGTTCACAACCACATATAATACTGTGTGCGCAAATGTAATTGAGTAGCAACTTACAGGAAGAAATTTACTTCAAATTTAGATTTGCCTACTTCTATTCTATCATTATGTTCATATGTTATCTCTGTAACATTGATTTTAAATCTGGTGTAAGTAGAAAAAATTATCAGTTTTCAGGCAGTCTATCACCATATTTGATTTGAGATATGTTTTTCAGGAGGTTCTTGAAGAAATAAAAGAGAACAGAGATAAGCAAGCTTTGTCAAGGGAAGAACCTGTGATCGAAGGTGAAGAGGATAATAATGGCATTGTTTTAGTAGCGTGCAAAGATGAACGCTCATGCATGCAGCTTGAAGATTGCATCATGAAAGGCCCAAATAAGGTTTTCCACTTTATCTAATTATAGTTTAGTCCTGCAAATGATTTTATACTCCTTTTCATTTATTTTTGTTTTGTTCTGGTTAGTCCTAGGCCACAAAATGCAAGGTCCTCAGCTTTTAGTGCTCCTCTGCATATTTTCACTATGTTTCTATGCCTAGGACTTGTGCAAGAGCTTTTTTATAACGTGCTAGTAGAGCTGTGATATCATCTTTAGAAAACTCTTATAGTATTACTCGAGTCCCTCAAATTTCTCATCAATCCATCCAATGGATTATCTCTCTAGTCGTAGGGGTGGCTACTATGGCATCGCTTAAGTAGGATTGCCTCACCCCATCTTACCCTTTTTACAAAACAAAGAAAAGAAAAGAAAAAAGGAAAGCTTGCCTCATATAACTCATATTGTTGCTGCTACAGTGAAGTTGAATAAGGTTGTCAAGTATGCTTATAGAGCTTTACATAACCTGTTTCCTATTTCATGAATTATTAAGGCGTTGAAACTTAGAATATTATATTGGGATATACTAACCATTTTATTTTTCCACTTAGTTGACCATGACCAAATATTTTGAACTGGTTTGGACCAAGAATGGGCTGTATATTTTCTTTTATACATTTCACTAAGGCAGTTCATGTACAGATTGACCTTAACTTCGATTCTTTAACAGTGTTTTTATTTTTTTTTTTTTTTTTTTTTTTTTTTTTTTTTTTTTTTTTTTTTGTGGCAAAAGCCTGAACACTTTATTTTGTGTTTTCTTCTAAAGGTCATGCGGGAAGAGTGGGAGAAGTATTTGCTGAGCAAAGTAGAGCTGCATGGATTACCAAAACGTAATAAAAATAAAAAGAAAGGAAAAGACCCTAAAGGTTTTGGGATACTTGATGGAGTTATTCCAACAACACCTGGACAAAAAGCAGAAGCTAGTAGCATAAGCAAGCAGGAAAATGATGCGCTGCTGGCAGCAGCTGCAGAAATAATAAAACACGCTAAAAAGGATATTGTTGTTGAAGATGACCCTCAATCTTGTGTAGGAAGTGGAGGACGTGCAAAAGGAAAGGGAAAAGGAAAGCAAAGAAAAACCTCTGGAAGTGTTCAGGTTTCCATGAATGGGGATGATAAAAGTGGCAATGGGGCAGCAATGAATGATAAAAGTGAGATGTTTGCTTCTGAAAATGGAGGCCAAATAAATAAAACTGATCCAGTGGTTGAGGGTGGTTTCCATGAAAGTGCTCCCAAAGTTGCTTCTTCAGACATAGCTGTCCTTCAAAAGCCTGCTCAAGGAGTTGATGCTACATCATTTGAAAATGCCAAGCGGTTCCCACCAGTGCACTTTTATGCCCTAGAAAGTGACCAGCATATACTTGACATTTTAAAGCCTTCTACGATTATTATGTACCATCCTGACATGGCCTTTGTCAGGGAAATTGAAATCTACAAAGCTGAAAATCCCACAATAAAGTTGAAAGTATATTTTCTCTTCTATGAGGATTCTACTGAGGTGCAAAAATTTGAGGCAAGCATACACAGGGAAAATGGTGCATTTCAATCCTTGATTAGGCAGAAATCATTGATGATGATTCCAGTTGATCAGGTTAGATCTTCTGTGCTTTCCATTCTTCCTTAATTTAAATAATATGCTCTGAAATTTATTAGCTATTAATATATTACTTTTTTATTTATTCACTTTTTGGCCTGTTAGTGTTCAACTGTGATATGGTGCTTGTCTCCATAATTCAAATGATATATAAATGTAATTGTTGTTAATTTGCTTAGACAGCAAATTATATTAAAATTTTAATTGTTCTTTGACATATTGTAAACTGGGAGTGTAAGTTTGTTTATACTCCTGTTCGCCATCATTTTTTTCTCTTTCCATTTGCGGTCATTGTTGATTTTGATAAAGTGCTCTTGTGATTTTAATAAATTTATCTGCACCTTGTAAATTAATGGTAAATGTTTTGATGTGATGCGATTCATATGCTTATACCAATGGATTAGGTTGGTTCATTTCCCTATCCTCTGTTTATTGCTAGAATGCTTATCAGGATAATGACAAGAAATGACATTAACAACCACTGTGAATCTCCATAACCAAAGTCTTTTTGTTGATCCTGGTGTAGTCAGCCCAGATCCTCTGTAACTATACCTTCTGATATATATATGGATATGCTGTGTTTTATTGTGGTTGTGCTATTCTACAAGTAGTCTTCTTATCTTCTTAACACGACAAGTGGGAGTGACCGATTTAAGTTTCTGACACGAGTCTTGAAGTACTCTTAAACTAGCCTCATACATCATTGTAACAAAATAATCCTTCGTCCAAATTACGTGGGGAAACAAAACAAAATCTGAGGCATACAGATTACCAGTGGCCCGCATTCTGCAGTTTGAATTTGTACTGCTAGCAAATAATTTCATTTATTTATACGGTTGTAGCATATAATGGTTAGTGTTTGAATAATGTATAGAGAGGTAGAATAGATTGTATGTATTCATATGGTTAGGGGCTCCTTATATAGGAGACGATTTACAAATTGTAATGATGAAAATCTAAAGCACTAACATTGCACTATACATAAAGTATAAACCACTAACATAAAGCTAACACACTAAGCTAACACACTAACAGCCCCCCTCAAACTCAAGGAGGATAGGAACTAACCAACTTGAGTTTGAAGAGAGTAACAAAACAGGAAAGTAAACTGATAAATAAAAACAGGATAGGAGACACGGTATGGTCGTGTCAGACCGTTGTAGCAGACAGTTTACGGGGTCATGTCGGACCGATGTAACAGACACTGTGTGGTCGTGTCAGACCGTTGTAGAATATGTGTGGAGAGAAAGAGTATACAAGATCTTTTTGGTAGTTTTGCATCAGGTCGGCTTTACCACCAAGTGGAAACAATGGTGCGCTATTATCGGATTCCTGTTCTTCTGATAGAGTTTTCACAGGACAAAAGCTTTTCATTTCAGGTAAAGCAGAGTATTGTATAAGTTTTAAGGAGGCATGAAAATTAGGTTTCAGTGTTTAATTGTTGGTTACATTTTTTGCAGTCTGCTAGTGACATTGGTGATGATGTCACTCCAAATAGCATTATATCCAAACTTTCATTGCTTGTGCTACATTTCCCCCGGCTACGCATTGTCTGGTCTCGCAGTTTGTATGCTACCGCTGAGATATTTGCTTCCCTAAAAGCAAATCAGGATGAACCTGATGAAGTCAAGGCAATTAGAGTTGGCGTCCCCTCAGAAGAGGGTATTGTGGAAAATGATGTGAGGTAAGATCCGTTGTCTTCACCCTGCTTTGATGGCTTAAAGATTAGGGAAAGTTTTCAGTAAGTTAAAATTTTCATTAAATCCTATTAGCATAATAGTTATTAATAGGACTCCATGGAAATTTAATGGAAAATGTAGAACTATATTTTTCCTAAAAATATATGAGCTTGTGTTTTGATGCTCAAAGAATAATAATAATAATAATAATAATAATAATAATAATAATAATAATAATAAAGAAAAAGGGACTAAGGTCCCATACATCAAAGATTTTTGGATAAATTACAAACACACCCCCTTTGGTTTACTTAAATTACAAATTACTTTATGTGATTCTAGAAATTACATTATACCCCTTAAGGTTTCTAATTTCATAACAAATAGGTCTTTTTATTCATAAATCATCAAGTTAATTAACAGTTTTTTATTTCAATTAATAATTCAGATAATTTTATTATTGTATAGGTGAACATTTAGAAATTTCACTTTTTCAATTAATTCTGTTAAATAAAAAATTCTGATAGGGAGGAATTTGTAATTTTTCAAATCACAGGGAGCAATTCGTATTTTAAGCAAATCTCAAGGGGTGCATTTGTAATTTACCCATGATTTTTTTACTTATAAAGTGTACATTGGCCCATTTAATAACATTGGCACAACAGAAAACATGTTTTTGTTGATTTATTTATTTTGCAATAAGCAAAAACAAATAATATGTTTGGTAATTGGTACACATGTCTGTTTTCAAAACTAAGTAAAAGCAAAAATAAGAAAATATGTTTGGGATTTGATGGAGGAAGCAAGTAACAAGAGTGGGAGGGGTGTTGCCGGATGTGGGAGGGAATGAAAACACTTTTTTCACTCTTTTTTTTATTTTTATTTTTAAAACACTTGTGTTATGAGTTAATAGTAGGTTACTTTGTTGCAGAGCTGAAAATTACAACACGTCTGCGGTGGAGTTCTTGAGACGGCTCCCAGGTGTCACTGATTCAAACTACAGGGCTATAATTGATGGGTGTGAAAGTTTGGCAGAACTTGCTCTTCTTCCTGTAGAGAAACTAGCTGAGCTGATGGGTGGTCAGAAAGCCGCCAAGACCTTGAAGGACTTCCTGGATGCCAAATATCCAACATTGCTTTGACGTCAATTCAATGAAATTCAATTCAGTCATACACAAGGCAATGCCATAATTTATCATTCATTCCTGTATTATTGCAATAGCTCGGGCTTTCATCTGTTATAGAATGGGTAATAAAGCTGCTCATGCCTTCACAATCTGCATGGTTGATTATTGATTAGTTGTTGTTGTTGTTGTTGTTTTTTTTTTTTTTTTTTTGAGGACGATTATTGATTAGCTGTTGTTTGTCTTTTTCAGTGCTTATTTGATTCGTTGTAAATTTTAGGCTGAGGATAGAAGTTGACATTTATAAACATGTCATTGTATCATTATGATTTTTTGTTCAAAATTTCTGATTCTAATTGATGCAACCATATGTAGCTCGAAGTATATATTAAATGACATGCATAATCGGTTTTTCTGTAATGGTGGTTCCGTGGGTGATGTGGCTGTTGGTTAATTTCGTTTGTTGTGGTAATATAAGTCCTACAAGGCCTACCCATTACAGGCTATGCAACGCCTTAAACTTCTGATACTGTGCACAAGAGAACAAAAATAATGGGTGATGCTAATCCTCTACTAATATGAGCAAATGATATTGTAAGCTCAAACAAGGTAGAAAGCTTTGCAAAGGAGATAGCTCGCTTCACGCAATGAGCTCCCTGTTTTCACGCTCACAACTCTTGATCCCTTTTTTTTTTTTGGTTAATATTTGGTTGGCTTTCTCTCTTTGTGTGCGTTTGCTTAAGAAAATGAAAAAGGGTAATGTTAGGGATACCAAATTTTCTACCAAACAAATGACCAAATGTCTCACATGGGTGTGGGGTCCACACCCATGTGAGACATTTGGTCATTTATTTGGTAGAAAATTTGGGACCTCTAGCATTTTTCAATGAAAAATGTTAATTCTAATGCTGTGTTTGGTTGGGGGAATTGGGAAGGGATTTGGAAAGAGAAAGGGAAAAAGTGTGTGAAACTAGGTGAAATGTATGTATATTTTATTCATATTTCACCTAACTTTTCCCTTTCCCTTTCCCAATCCCTCCTTAAATCTCCTAACCAAACACAGCGTAAATGTTTTATCAGTATTTTTATCAAATATTTCATATGGGTGTGATGTGAGTCTTATAGCATGTGAAACATTTGGAGTCCCAAATATTAGAAGTGGAGGAGTAATTTTTCTTTGGTTGTAAACTATCTATAAAAAATATAAATGTGCACTCTCAAGCACAATGGGATCCGTGGCGCAATGGTAGCGCGTCTGACTCCAGATCAGAAGGTTGCGTGTTCGATTCACGTCGGGTTCAATCCCCTGTTCTCCCAACGGATTTAATCTTTTTCTACTCACTTTTTTTTTTTTTGAGGCAGCACTTCTCTGCATTTTGATAAACAACTGTCATCTCAACGCTAAATTCTCTCCATGGAAGAGAGTTCATTTCAGGCTCCACCTTCAAGTTGTCCTTCCATCTTTGGTCTTATTATTATGGGGTATGTTTGGTTTGAGTTTGGGAGATGAGTTTTAGAGATAAAAAGTACGAAAAGTTGTTTGATTTGGTTTTTTTAACAGATGTTTTGAAAAATTATTTTGAGAGAGAGTTTTGAAAAAAGTGATTGATTTGATGTGTATAAGAGAGATTTGTTTGAAAAACTTGTAAACCAAACAAGTTTTGGGAAATTTTTTTAGAAAAATTTGTTTGATTTGATTACTTTTGAAAATTTATTTGTAGAGAATTTTTCTTAAAATTTTTTGGAAAACACAAATCAAACAAGGCAATTATATTCCTCATTTATAGCTCCACAGTCATTTTCTTTTGACCAGGCAGGCCATCATGAGAATTGTCTAAATCTTTGTAGATGGGAATTGTCTATGTTAATGTAAATTGTGTAAATGTAAATTACCACTACCACTCACTCCACCTACCACCTCCACTACCACCCACTCCACCTACCACCTCCACTACCACCTACACCTACTCCTCACCTACTCCCAAATCCTCTCCTATATAATAGGAATCCTTGTAATATACATAATACACACTTTTTGGTAGTTTTGCATCAGGTCGGCTTTACCACCAAGTGGAAACAATGGTGCGCTATTATCGGATTCCTGTTCTTCTGATAGAGTTTTCACAGGACAAAAGCTTTTCATTTCAGGTAAAGCAGAGTATTGTATAAGTTTTAAGGAGGCATGAAAATTAGGTTTCAGTGTTTAATTGTTGGTTACATTTTTTGCAGTCTGCTAGTGACATTGGTGATGATGTCACTCCAAATAGCATTATATCCAAACTTTCATTGCTTGTGCTACATTTCCCCCGGCTACGCATTGTCTGGTCTCGCAGTTTGTATGCTACCGCTGAGATATTTGCTTCCCTAAAAGCAAATCAGGATGAACCTGATGAAGTCAAGGCAATTAGAGTTGGTGTCCCCTCAGAAGAGGGTATTGTGGAAAATGATGTGAGGTAAGATCCGTTGTCTTCAACCTGCTTTTGATGGCTTAAAGATTAGGGAAATTTTTCAGTAAGTCCTACTTTTCCCATGAAATTTTCATTAAATCCTATTAGCATAATTGTATTAATAGGACTCGATGGAAAATTAATGGAAAAAGTAGGACTAAGAAAAAGGGACTAAGGTCCCATACATCAAAGTTTTTTGGGTAAATTACAAACACACCCCCTTAGGTTTACTTAAATTACAAATTACTTTTTGTGGTTTTAGAAATTACATTATACCCCTAAGGTTTCTAATTTTATAACAAATAGGTCTTTTTATTAGTAAATCATCAAGTTAATTAACAGTTTTTAATAATGTTAAAATTTTATTTCAATTAATAATTTAGATAATTTTATTATTGTATAGGTGAACAATTAGAAATTTTACTTTTTGAATTAATTCTGTTAAATAAAAAATTCTGATAGGAAGGAATTTGTAATTTTTCAAATCACAGGAGGCAATTTGTATTTTAAGTAAACCTCAGGGGGTGTATTTGTAATTTACCCAAGATTTTTTTACTTATAAACTGTACATTGGCCAATTTAATAACATTGGCACAATAGAAAACATATTTTTGCTGATTTATTTATTTTGCGATAAGCAAAAACAAATAATATGTTTGGTAATTGGTACATATGTCTGTTTTCAAAACTAAGTAAAAGCAAAAATAAGAAAATATGTTTGGGGATTTGATTGAGGAAGCAGGTAACAAGAGTGGGAGGGGTGTTGCCGGATGTGGGAGGGAATGAAAACACTTTTTTCACTCTTTTTTTATTTTATTTTTTATTTTTAAAACACTTGTGTTATGAGTTAATAGTAGGTTACTTTGTTACAGAGCTGAGAATTACAACACGTCTGCGGTGGAGTTCTTGAGACGGCTCCCGGGTGTCACTGATTCAAACTACAGGGCTGTAATGGATGGGTGTGAAAGTTTGGCAGAACTTGCCCTTCTTCCTGTAGAGAAACTAGCTGAGCTGATGGGTGGTCAGAAAGCCGCCAAGACCTTGAAGGACTTCCTGGATGCCAAATATCCAACATTGCTTTGACGTCAATTCAATGAAATTCACTTCAGTCATGCACAAGGCAATGCCATAATTTATCATTCATTCCTGTATTATTGCAAAAGCTCAGGCTTTCATCTGTTATAGAATGGGTAATAAAGCTGCTCATGCCTACACAATCGGCATGGTTGATTATTGATTAGTTGTTTTTTTTTTTTTGGGAGGACTATTATTGATTAGTTGTTATTTGTCTTTTTCAGTGCTTATTCGATTCGTTGTAAATTATATGCTAAGGATAGAAGTTGACATTTATAAACATGTCATTGTATCATTATGATTTTTTGTTCAAAATTTCTGATTCTAATTGATGCAACCATATGTAGCTCGAAGTATATATTAAATGACATGCATAATCGGTTTTTCTGTAATGGTGGTTCCGTGGGTGATGTGGCTGTTGGTTAATTTCGTTTGTTGTGGTAATATAAGTCCTACAAGGCCTACCCATTACAGGCTATGCAACGCCTTAAACATCTGATACTGTGCACAAAAGAACAAAAATAATGGGTGATGCTAATCCTCAACCAAATATGAGCAAATGATATTGTAAGCTCAAACAAGGTAGAAAGCTTTGCAAAGGAGATAGCTTGCTTCACGCAATGAGCTCCCTGTTTTTATGCTCACAACTCTTGATCCCTTTTTTTTTTTTTTTTTTTAATATTAGGTTGGCTCTCTCTCTCTCTCTCTGTGCTTTTGCTAATGGTGTGTTTGGTTGGGGGATTTGGAGAGGGATTTGGAAAGGGAAAGGGAAAAGGTGTGTGAAACTATGTGAAATATAAGCATGATTTATTTACATTTCACCTACCGTTTCCATTTCCCTTTCCAAATCCCTCTTTAAATCTCTCAACCAAACACAACATTAAGAAAATGAAAGATGTTAGGAACTCTAATGCTGTGTTTGATTGGAGTTTTTGAGGTGGGATTTGGAAAAGGAATGAGAAATGTAATCCTATTTATGTTTGGTTATAATAAAAAATATATGGGAAAAGAAAGGGGGTGAGAAATAAATAAAGAAATAGGATACCTTTTAGGACATCAATTCTATTTTATAACCAACACAACCAAACATAGTTGGGATTTGGAATTCTATTAATTCTTTCTCCTGTTCCTTTCATTTCCATTTCCCTTCCCAAATCTCCCAACCAAACACAGCATAAATGTTTATCAGTATTTTTAACAAATGTTTCATATAGGTGTAATGTGAGTCTTGCACCATGTGAAACATTTGGAGTCCCAAATATTAATAGAAGTGGAGGAGTAATTTTTTTTTTGGTTGTAAACTATCTATAAGAACTATAAATGAGCACTCTGAATCACAATGGGATCCGTGGCGCAATGGTAGCGCGTCTGACTCCAGATCAGAAGGTTGCGTGTTCGATTCACGTCGGGTTCAATCCCCTGTTCTCCCTACGGATTTAATCTTTTTCCACTTACTTTTTTTTTTTTTTTTAATTTTTGGAGGCAGCACTTTTCTGCATCTTGATAAACAACTGCCATCTCAATGCTAAATTTTCTCCATGGAAGAGAGTTCATTTCAGGCTCCACCTTCAAGTTGTCCTTCCATCTTTGGTCTTATTATTATTATATTCCTCATTTGTAGCTCCACAGTCATTTTCTTTTGACCAGGCAGGCCATCATGAGAATTGTCTAAGTCTTTGTAGATGGGAATTGTCTAAATCTATGGAGAGAGTCTGAGAATATACGATGCTTTTTAATATCTATGTTTGTTTTGATTAGTGTGAGATTGATAAAGTATATGATAAGATTTATAGCATTATATTTTGTTTTGATTAGTGTGAGA